TCTCTGTAGATAGCCATTCAAGTTACGCCATAATCACACATGCTATACATGTGTTTAAGTGCACTCTTGAGCGTTACTTTTTCGTAATACCCGTAGTATATTTTTTGTATTCCCCTTTGCTTTATTTTTCATCATATTTTAATTGCTCCGCGGACAAATCACGAGTAAATAAATCATTGCTTTGGCACTTTTCAAGAGCACTTCTCCGTGAATATGATAAAAACACAAAAGCGGAATTGAAAAAACTTTTGGAAATATAATTGGTATACAGTTTTTGATAGAAATAAAGTCCCATATTCTTTCATATAATTTTCGTTGAATGAGAATCGATAGAGAAGTGTAGCACTCGAACGAAATGTTTGCAGATTTTGAGTTCCGGCTTTGAGTGAATGTTTCATTGTTAGAGGCACTTCTAACATCCACTTCTTAAATCCTTAAAAGTAAATTTTTCTGTAGTATTTGTTCTCCCATGCGCTTCAAAATGATTGTTTGAGGGGGGAAATTTTTTTTGAATAGTTTTTTTTTTGAAAGAAGCCGAAATATCACTTCCTTTTATTTTTTCTTCGCCCCTTAATAGTATTTCGATCAAATCTAATAGATTTTTCTGATATTTTCTGGATTTATTTCTGTTATAATTGCGGTATTTTTTCTGGTACTTCCTTGGTATCTATCATTTATTTTTTTATATATATTTTTATATATTTTTATATATTTTTATATATTTTTATATTTTTTTATATACATTTTTATATACATTTTTATATTTTTTTCTATATATATTTTATATATATATATTCTGGTATTATGGTATACGATGAAAAGCGCTTCCTAGTGCGACTTTTCCGTAAAATCCCAAGGACACACTGCCCCCAAGAACTGTAGGGCCTAGAATACACAGAAAATCCATTCACAAATCTTTACGATCTCCAATTGTTTCAATATTTATTTAACTTGTGCAACGAATAAATTTTGCATTCCCGTTCCCATTTCCATTTTCGCATTGAAAATGGCTTGATTGATTTTCAACAAAGGAGAAATTCCTCAATCTTTTATTTATTTTCAATTTTCGCTTGGAAAAGCGATGTACTGAAAAGCGGTCGAACATATAAATTTCCTTGTTGTCCGAAAAAGAGAGAATTTATTGCGCCTCTGGCGCTGCTGCTGCTGCTGCTGGCGTCCGTCAGAAGTAATAAATAATTAATATTCTTACTCAACAAGCAATTAAATGTTTTTGTGGCACAAACGCAGAAAACAAAGCCAAAAAGAGTCTAACGTAATTTGCTTGAATGCAAATACAATTTTAATATTTATTTCCACATCCAATCCCCCGACAACCCGATGGATTCTGATGAGTTTTGCCAAATACGTAAAGTAAAGGTTTATGCCAAATGCAAAAAGTGTTCGTTCAATGCAATAAAATCCCCCCTATAAAGAGGCAGCGAGTGAAGCGGAGATGAAAGATACGTATCGCTGGATGATATATACATATGTATCCATATATATTGTATATCGTATATTTCTCAACCCGCACGCGTGTATGCCAATGCGAGTCATTGAACGTCGGTGCAAATGACTTCATCATTGAAGTAACTGACAGATACGTATCTCCCCCTCTCTCTCGCTTAGTGTTTTTTGTACATATATCTACATAGATGTAGGAGTGTGTGTGAGTATCATATGGATAGATAAGTCTCCTTCGCCCTCCCTCCCGATGCTCGTTTGAATCAATGTAAGCTCTGAATGACGCTGTCTATTGAATGAAGTGAAATGAAATGAAATATTCGCTCGTTCTCATGACTCTCGAATGAGTATTCGCAAAACACATGTCACCGAGTGTCTGCATCAGCAATACCAGCAACAACTATTTTACGGGGTACTTTATGTGGCACTTGGCCAGGCCAACATCATCAGGTTGACTGAACTCTTTTACAGAGTGTGCAAAGGGAGTGGAGCTCCAGGACCTTAGGGATGTGCCCAGGCAGTGCTTTGAACCAGGAGTGGTGAACCCCCAGTCGGTCATCTTTTGTGGGAATTAGCTAGTTTTCTTTTTTTGCATGCTCTTCACTCAGACACTTGGAAAGGTTAAATACAGCACTAATATATGGCTGGGAAATATATCATTAAAATAAAAGGTGTCCTGAGTGGATAGTGCGTGTTTTAGCTGTTGGATATTCTTTCAGGAATCTTGGTTGAGGGAGTAAACGCACATCATATGTCCTCAAATCCCAAAACAGGTTTAAATGTTAGTTTTTAATTTGGAATTATTTTTTTTCGTTTTACTAATGTGGGGAAATGGACAAGCTTCGCTTGGTATTTAATGCTTGTGGTATTTTTTTGTATTTACATACATAGTATTTTTGCTAATTTTGTTGTTTGGTATTTGTCTAGTATTTACTAGAAATTTTCTGAAATTTCCTATATACACACATATGTTTAGGATTTCCTAGTATTAATCTAGTATTCTTCTAATATTCTTCTAGTATTCTTTTAGTATTCTGCTAGTATTCTTCTAGTAATCTTCTACTATTATTCTAGTATTATTGTACTATTACTCTGGTGTTCTTCTAGTATTCTTCTAGTATTTTTTAAGTATTTTTCTAGCAATCTTATTGTATTCTTATAGTATTATTCTAATAGTATTTTAGAATTAATCTAGTATTTTTCTGGTATTCTTCGAGTATTCTTCAAATATTCTTCTAATATTATGCTATTATTCTCCTAGTATTTATATAGTATTTTTCTAGTATTATTGTGGTATTCTTTTAGTATTCTTCTGGTATTTTTCTAGAATTCCTTTGGTATTCTTCTAGTATTCTTCTGGTTTTCTTCTAGTATTGTTCGAAAATTCTTTTAGTATTATTCTATTATTCTTCTAATAATCTTCTAGTATTCATCCAGTATTATTCTAGTACTTTTCTAGTATTCTTCTAGTCTTTAATGATATTTACCAATGTATCCTTATAGTCCTTGTCAGTAACTCAACTGTTTTCAATTACAATCCCAAATAAAGTTCCTTATAATGGCTTCCAAATCACTTTCACCCCTATCAACCATCAAATCCTGGCACCGTCACACGCCCATGATTTTCTGCACTCTAGTACTCACAATCTTTTTACACATCAGATGAAATGGTAGAAGAAAAAAAGAAAAACTACTGAGAAATGAACGCAGTGGCAGCAGAAGCAGTATTTGGTGTAAAAAATAGTTCGCGTGCTGATGCCACATTTCAATTTCGTTTTCATGCACAACCTTACACTTATTTTTCTTTCTTTATAATATTTTTTCACTACCACGCTTTTATTTTAATTATATTCTGTGTTTGGTCGGTGGTAGTCCCCCGAGAGGAGGAGGAGAGGGAGATGCAGAGGCGGGGGCAGGGGCAGGGGCGTTTGTTACTTTAGTGAACATGTAAAGGCTTTATTTATAATTGGCTTGCACTTTTGTGTTCAGTTTTTCAGTGCCTGTCTGAACAAGTTTTCCTTTTCACTGTTTCGTGGAAAATGAACTTTTAAATAATACATTGACTAATTGCATTTAATAAATATTGCAATCCCCTCTGTCCGCCTCGCCTCTAACGAGCGAGAGATCTCATTAGCCTGAAAGTATTTTTGTTTTTATTTTTGGTTAAAATTAATCCACTTCGTTTGTACGAAAATTAATATCCCTCTTTTCGGTTTTAATTATCGTATGATGCGTTAATTTTACTCATTCTCTTTGTCTCTTTCGCTTGTTTTCTACCATTAATTCTTGGTTTTATTTTTTGCACTTTGCGTGTGGAGGCATTTTTAATTTCCCTAGGCCCAGCCCCACTTTTTTCTTTTTTCTTTTTACTTTTTACGTAATTTACTTAATTTTCGTAGCCCCGAAAATGTTTATACGTCTAGACGAGGGCCTCCTCACTCCATCTCTCGCTCTCTTTATCTCTCTCTGTGGTATTGTTATGGTATTTATGCGGTCATTGTTTCTGTTCGGGGAATCTTCAAAAGGAGGCTCCTTAGATGGTGTGAGGTAATTAAATGCGAATGAGATTCTCTTCTCTGACCATTTGAGTGATAAATATTTAGGGGATGTGTGGCTGAGAGATGGGAAAAGTTTTGGGGAATTATATTTTGTTTTTGTTTTATGGTATTTACTGAAATTTATATTTTTCTGCTATTTACTAGTATCTTTTGTATTGTTAAAATATGAAATAGTATTTTTCAGGTATTTACTGGTAATAACTGTTATTTTCTTGCATTAACTAGTATTTTTCTGGTATTAAGTATTATTTTTTGCTATTTACTAGTATTTTCTGGTATTAACTAGTATTTTTCTTGTATTAAGGATTATTTTTCGGGTATTAACTATTATTTTAATGGATCAGAGTAGTATTTTCTGGCATAAGCTAGTATTTTTCTGGTATTAACTAGTATTTGTCTGGTATCAACTAGTATTTTTCTGGTATTAGCTGGTATTTTCTTGTATTAACTAGTATTAGCTGGTATTTTCTTGTATTAACTAGTATTTGCTTGTATTAACTAGTGTTTTATAATATTAACTAGAATTGTTATGGTATTAACTAGTTTTTATGATGTTAACTAGAATTTTTCTGTGCCTAAGTAGTATTTTTCTGGTATTAACTAATATTTTCTGTTACCAACTAGTATTTTTCTGGTACAACCCAGTATATTATTGTATTAACTAGTATTTTTCTGGTCTTAGCTAGTATTTTATATCAACTAGTACTTTTCTGGTACAACCCATATTTTATTGTATTGACTAGTATTTTTCTGGTATTAACTAGTATTTTCTGGTATTTACTAGCAGTTTCTTTTATTTACTTGTGTTTTTCTGATATTAACTAGTATTTTTCTATGTATTTTATGTATTTTTTGAACTAATCATCATAGTGTGGCTTTACTTCAAATGAAGTAAGTCATGAAATCTTTGTCAAAAATATTTGGCAATGAAAAGCGAATTCTTAATTTGTTTTAATTGAATTTCCGTTAGTATTTTTCAAGCTTTCAAAGGATAATCAGTCCTAGAAGAGCCGAAATGTCGTTCGGTGGCTGTGTTCTGGCAATGCAGGGCAATGAATGCGTGGCCATTGCCACAGACCATCGCCTGGGATGCGGCTCTAACCCGGGTCAGAGGATTGCCGGGGATTTCAAGAAGGTCTTCAAGGTGGGACCCCGCATGTTTTTGGGTCTGACCGGATTCCTCGCCGACGTCAATACAGTGTGGGATCGCCTGCAGTACCGACAAAATCTGTACGAAATCAAGGAGAGCTGTGAGATGACGCCCGAGGCATTTACCACCATGCTGTCGAATCTGCTCTACGAGCACCGCTTCGGGCCCTACCACGTGCAGGCCGTGGTGGCAGCACTCGATCCGCTTGCCCTGCGGCCGTACATTTGCAGCGTCGATCTCATCGGAGCGCCCACCAAAAAGGATTCCTTTGTGTTCTGCGGCAGCTGCGACAAACAGCTGTGTGGCATGTGCGAAACACTCTGGACGCCGAACCTAGACCCCGAGCAACTTTTTCTAACGATGTCGCAGACCCTGACACATGCCTTCGACAGGAATATCACATGTGGCTGGGGCGCCACAGTCTTTGTGCTGGACAAGGACAAGATCATGGAGCGTGTGATTGATGTGCGCAAGGATTAGATCAGGGGGTGGTGGAGACATTAAAAATATTTCAAATGATAAAGAAATACTTTTAATTGTATCTGCAAGGTACAGATTGGGGTTAAAGCGAAAACTGCTCCATCAGCTCCCAGCGAAACACGTGTTTTCTCCCTCCCCCAACTCCCCATTAATTTAGGAATTTAAACTCGAAACCTCAATTCCAATTTGCAAGAGACTCCCTCTTCATTCCATCAGCGCATACAAAAATTGCAACATTGCATAAAAAACACGACTTAAAAGACGATGAAGATCCAACGAAAGTAAGTAATCGTACGATACTATATTTTTTGCGATATTGGGTCAGCAAATATTTGCAATTACAATTGATTTTTTGGACAACAAAAAGGCACGGTGGCATGGCCCACAAAAAATTGACACAGAATTTCAAAATCTATGTGAAAATATTGGGCAAAAAGAAAATTAATATGATTGTAAAGAGACGAACGCGAGAGACAGACCGAAAGATGATTATTAGTGCAAAGCAAATTGCGGCTTTTTGTTGTGAAGCGAAACCAAAAGTGGAGAAATAGGGAGAAGGCAAGGAGAGGCGGAAGTGGGGAGGGAACTTGGACAACTTATTGGCCCAAAAATAGTCGAAATAAAGCGAGTGGTGTGTGAAACCGTTTACAATGTGGCAACACGACAGAGATCTCCGACAAGACTATGGCACGGTCTTAATTTCCATTAATTTATATCATTATTTTTATTATTTTTACAAGCAAAACTAAAGGCAAACCTTTTTGGCAGCCAGAAGAAAGTATAGCAATCACGAAATTCATGGCCTCTTCACTCACTTTCATTCATGAAATGAAGTTGTCTTCTTGTTGAATCTTACAACAAATTAATTGCCATTTTGTGGCACTGCCGCTGCCCCTGTCGCTGACAATTGTTTCAACTTTCTACAGATTTTCACTCGAACAAGAGAAATACTTTGGAGTTTTATGGTACTTTTGAAACTTGTTCTGTCGCTGAAAAGATTTCGCCCCAAAGGAAAATCGAAAACCGAAAAGAAAAAGAAGACAGAGATTAAAGCGTATCATTTTTACGATTAGTTCCTTAAACATCGCAGAGATGGGAATACCATCGGAAGAAGCAGAAGCTTTGGCGTTTAATTTTAGAAAACTGACATCATAATAAATTTCGGAACACAGACGACAGGCAGTGCTGTCTGTGCACACAGATATTCCAAAACAGAACGACAAAACTGTTCCAAAGTGGATTTATGATCGGGGAGCACAAATGTCTCTTGGTTAGGTTCGAAATTGGGAGCGGAACGAGGAGCCCCATAAGTGCTGAGTGGCTGAAGGATTTAGTTGATGTTTTCCCATAATTTTGCTTGCCGATGCTTGTTAATTAAAATCCAATCAGATCGGGTGGAATTTTCACAGTTCTTTCGGCTTCGGCACGGAAGTGGCATAAAATAAAAGCGCATTTCACTCCAAAGGAATGTTCTCAGATACTTCCTCGGTGGACAGATATATTCTATATTTATTTCTGGAATAGATGAGTAAGCGGGAAAAACCAGAGAGTGTTTGTGAAAAGAGGAAAGAGTGGGTTGAATGCATTAATGAAAGGCAAATTTGATGGGAAATTAAATATATATTTCTATGGAAATGGCATGCAATTCTTTGGAAAATATAATGGAAAGACATATTTTGGAATAATTTAATGTAATGTAATATTAAATTAATTTATAATCAAAAAGTCTTTTCAATAGATCCCAAGAAGAGTACAAGAAATGTATAGAAATTAGATTTAATTGAATCTCATAATTCCTTATATTTTAACCGCTCTACCATCCCAAATAATACCTATATTTTCATGAATAATCTTCATAAACATATTTTCAACAGCTCAATAAATATTTACAAATGTCTTTCACATCAACAAGGCACCAAATATTTGCTTGAACCCAAGAGTTTACTTAGCAAATATTTAAAATACAAATTCCAGCGATGAAACGCTAATCTGTGGATCATTCTAGATATATCCCATACCCAATTCTTACTTATTAATTATTTAATTAGAATAATCTTCGACCCAGACTGGTTTCGAGATGTATTTCCTTTACAGAACCTCACACGTAACCATGAAAACTGCCGCGACTCTGAGTTCAGACGGTAATTTGCATATAAAAACGTTTTCAATTTGCATTTTGAAGAGTTGTTAAACGAGTAATTGAGTAAATTGAGGTGTAAAGACATATTTAAGCGGTAAATGCAGGTATTTATTGAGATTTTCCATTGGATAAGCACTAGAGGATGATATAAGATGACGTATTCTTTGTTTTCGAAGAGGAAATTCAGGGAAATTGTAAGAGGAAATGCAATCCAAGCCAAAAGCATGTCTTTTCTCCCACAATTCTTTCCGGGAAATATGGTTTTCTCTTCCATTAAGACACGTTGTTTTGTCTAGCTTATAGAGAAGTTTCCCCATGTTCCATATAAACGCTGCTCCCCAAAATTCCTGCATGGTTTAAGGATTATCTCAATTTATGAACCATTTTCCATGTTTCCAGTTAATGTTCTATAAAGGAAGCCCCCCTCTATCACATTTTAGCTTCAATAAAATTCCAAAACATTTCCATCTTCACACCTTTTAATCTTCTCCCGAAAACCCACATTTCCACCCACTCGCTTCGCCCCAGTGCCCCCAATGGAGGCCATCAGGGAAATTTTGATGAAGCAGCTAATAAATTTAACTGCCTGTCAAAGTCAGGGTAAAAGTTTTGCGGGCACCACTTGGGGCCTGCCCCACTCCGTCGAATCATAACAAATTATAAACAAATAAAAGAACTGTGCCAAAATCCACACCTGAGAAAACGCTTTCCACCGCACCTACATTCGAGAAAGGGCATGAAATCTTAGGAAGTCGAAGCATTGAATGCTCTTGGGCGATTAATCTATGATGATTATGGTACGATATAGTGATCTGATTTGATTGGAATATAGCTAAAAGTATGAAGAAATATTTGAAATTACAAATATCTTTGGAAACAAAAGAGTTTTTCCTATAAATACCACTTTTAATGACGGTGTTTTCTATGAAACCTACATGATTTGGTCCTCGGATCTGAATGGTTTTAAAAATAAGCTTTATTACAAGTATTTAAATCATATAAATTCCTAAGTGAAGCATTAATTTATTTATTATAACCCAACAATTTCTACCTCAATCTTTCAGAATAAATACTAACTTCTCTGTCACCAAAATCCCCTAAAAATCGTCATACCCCTCCTTTATAAAAACATGAAAACAGGGAACTATTTGATGTGAAAAAAGTGCGTGGCGCACATTTATAAGGCGCCAAAAGCAAAAGCCCAAAAACAAAGACAAATATCTCTCTCTCCACCGACTTTTCCGCCGTCTCCTCCGTTTCCTCCTACATCTCCATCCAAACTCTGCTTTGCTGTGCTTCCGTTTTGGCATTAATTTGTGTAATTTTGTTGACATTTCTGTCGTTTCCGCCAAAGTGACTTTGGCTCCAGTTTCTCAGCTCCAGCTCCAGTTCCAGCGCCAGCGCCAGCTCCAGCCACAACACAACTTTGGCTGCGTCTCGGCGTGGCTCCGTCTCGATGTGAATATATTTGCACTTAGAGTTTGCCGCCAACTTGTTTGCCAGCCGTGCTGTTAGTTTTTGGTGGCAGTGCGAGTGCCACCGCTGCCTGATTAATTTGCTTTATCGGCTGTGCCTCTCGGCTGCTCCGCTCATAATGGAGCGCGTGTCCAAAAGACCAGAGAAAAAAACCACAATAAATACCAAAGCCATAGTCAAAGTCAACCATTTGGCAATTTATTTGAATTTGTTGCTGCTTTTGTTGCAAGAATTTTATGGGCTTGAGATTGGGAGCATGTGTGTGCTTCTGCGGACGGAGTCGAGGCTAGGGGATGTCCGAGCCGAGTGCTAAACAATGAATGTTAAACAAGATCTCAATGCTGGGAATGTTCAGGGCTGTGGCATCAATTCAGGGGTTTTATTGGTCCAAGAATTAGATGGAATGTTGGTTGGAGGAGTTCTTGATTTTTTCTTGATTAAATACCATAAAAATAGCGACGGAAACCTTTTCAAAAATGTTGGAACATTTTTTAAGCATTTTTAGAAGCGGAATGTTCATTATATTATCTCGGAATATGGCTTTTTAAAGCTACTAATTGGTATAATATTTGACAAAAGGCTAAACAGAACTCTCCAGCCATATCGGACAGCTTTTAAACGGGTTCCTTGGGCCCTAAAAGAGTCCTAAAACGGAACTCTGGATTTCTTCAATCTACCTTTTCGAAAGGTACCCTCTAAAATACCTCATCTAAGGGTCGTATTCGAGAGATTATTTCATCTGAGGGCTGTAAAAAATATTTAAACCTCTCATAGAACACTTTTATGGCACTTTCCCTCCACCTAAGCCCCTAGGTACCCCTACCCCCTGCACAATTAATCTGCAGCTAGTTTACACCCCTGCCCTCTGCACGGGAACGATAATTATTACTTAAGGGCGTCATCTAAAATGCAGAAGCTCTCGACTAACTTTATTATGATGAATGACCACTAAAGAGGGGGCGAAAGTTGTATCTGGGGGTGGGAGGTGGGTGTATATCCTGCAGATATTCCAAGTATTCTATTACTGGGGGTCCCTTCCCCGCGGCACCCACCCACCCACTCCTGGTGGAACTTCTGCAACTGCAACTGCCACTGCAAATAATTGCCGAGGAACGAGCGACGAGTCGAGTGCAAACAGTGTGCATAAATAAATAAATAAAAGCCCACTCTGCAGAAACAAAGTTTCGCTGGCTCTGGGGGCTGTTGGGGTTCTCTATTTTCTATTCATTCTAGGGACGGGGGCATTTGGGTGTTTTGGGGTTTTTGTCAGACTTTCCACACGAACAAACTCATCAGCAGAAATGCTTTCCGGCAGCTTTTCTCCTCCCCCTCCAAGCCCTAAGCCCCAAGTGCAGCCAGAAACCCCCCCCCCCCCCCCCCCCCCCCCTCGACTGGGAGCCCCACAACAAGTG